GCACAAGCAAATAACGAAGTGAAATAGTCGGCAGCTCTTCAACCTGATCATTGGTGCTGAACAATGAGAGGCTCTCTACTGTTCGGCTCATTAATTGTAATCGTTCAATACAATTTTTGAGTTTATCCTTGAATAAAATTAAACGAAACTTGTTCAGAAAAATAATTTGAAAACCTTACATTTCTTTGTTGTGATTTAGAATCTCCTAAACGGTCATGTAACAAATCTTCCACAATATTCTCACAAAATACAAATTGTTGTTGCAATGAAGGCTCGTCGTTTTCTATCATTTTGTCTTAAAATTCAAAGTTCAATTCCTAAAAATCTGTTAAAAATAGGTTTCATGACGGATTAAGCTCTTTATATTCGTTAGCTATTTTGAAATAAACATTATGACAAAAATAAAATGTAAGCTCAAAAGGCTAAAATTAAACTTGATTTGGAATGGGAAGCACCTTGCCCCAGGCAATTTTCGGCAAAACCCCGACCCGAACCGCTGCAAACCCCGAAAGTGTTTGTTGCGGCACCTTTATTTAAAAAGTACACTTGCAATGGTATAGTCACCAAATTAAAAAAGAAACAATTTTAAAAAATTTTGGTTTATTTCAACAACGAGTAAAAGGTTATAATGAGAATGAATAAGGCCAGAAAAAAGGTTATTTACATTATAGATGGCAATCTTTTTTAATAAATTTTTCATTTCTTATATTTTGTGTTAGAACTTCAATCCATTTTTTTGTTATTGGCCTGTTACTGAAGCCCTCGTACCTCCAGTAGTACCGCCCAAGAAGACGTGCGACTCAACTCCACCATGACCGTAGCTACAAAAAATTGGTTTTAAAATATTTTTGAAATTCCTCACCCGCGAGGTCCGAACAATGCTCCATAGCAGCGATTGCAATAAGGCTTGCCTTCGTGCTAAAATTAAAAAAAGAAACTTAAAGTAAGAAGAGTTTCGCTCACTTCAGAATGACCACCAGCGGAGAGCGTCTTCTTACATGCTTGATTGTAGCAGCGAAGGCATGGTCGATGCCAGTCCTTCCCAATGGAAGTAACACGTTCGGCTAAATAAAATTGAATAAAATATTAACTTAAAAGCTTTAAGCAAACCAAAATAGACTGGGCGGTTACAAGTAGGACAATCTGGCATATTGTTATTGTTTAGAACACGAGTGAGTGTTAACGAGTTGCTTAATTAGAAAAATTTAGAAATTTGAAAAACTCATTATCTCGCAAAATTAAATAAATCAATAAATGAAAAATTAGGACCGAAGACAGATAAGTTTCAAATGAAAAAGTTTAATCTCTTTTATAGTAAAATTTTTGGCATTGTGAACGAAAAGAAATCGAATGCCAAACGAATTGATTTATTTGAAAATTTCAATTTTTCTTCAGAAATGCCCCGAAAAGTCTACTTATTGTTCATTTCTCTTGTTATAGGACCAAAAACTAATTTAAAATTTTAGGGAACAAAGATAAGCAAAGGAAAGCATTGTATTCGTTTTGTACGAGAAAAAAGAGCCAATTCTTTCCACACGTATTTTATTTAAAAAAGAATAATCGTGGCGATCAATGGCAATAAAATTTTTTTAGGTGAAACAGGGTCATAAGTATGTGAATAATATTTACATGGGTGTCAAAAATGGGGATTTTTAGGTTGATAATGGGTGTCAATCCTAAAGACCTACAACTTTTGAAAGAGAATATCAAAAGGAAATATCGAGGGATTTGGAGGGATTAAGCGGATATCGATGGATTTAGTGTGATTGAAGGGGATAGAGAACCCACCCATAGTTATGATAGCGGTAACATTGGTTCTAAAATGCAGACCGGGTACTTAACTTCATTGAATAGTGTATTTATCCCCCATAATCCCTCTAAATCCTTCGATATTCGCTTTAAAAATTTGTAGGTATTTTGGGGTGACTCTGATAATGAGGAAACGGAAAAAAATAATTAGCAAGAAAGCAAAATTTTGGAATGAAGTGTCAATTATGATGCAAGAATTAGAACGCAGAATAAAAAAACTTATGGATATCGGATTTGTGGGGAATGCTTTTCCCTTTTCACTTAATGCTTTTTTGTTTTCTTTATTATTTGCCAGCGAGTTTCTTCTACTAAATGGGCGCGGGATTTGTTAGAAAAACAACGGGTACTAGCTAACTGCAATATTCAAAAGATCAACTCCTAGAAAAATATTTGTTTAACACACGCAGTGAACTGGAGAGATAGTTGAGTATATCCTGAACTAATAATATATGATGATAATTATAAAAATGATAAAAAAATGACAAGAATGATTGAGCGAATGATAGTGAAAGCGAAAATAAAAAAGGAACTTTGTTAAAGTCGTTGAGAATAGAGAATTTTGAGATAAAACTGCTTATTTCTACGCTTTTTGTTAAAAGAAAGACCCCAATATTATGTTAGATATTTGGGGAGTTTAATAAAGTGTAATAAAAACCATCAAGGAATTTGTGGCCAATGACCACATAACATATGGCTTTATTTAAAAGGTTCAATCTAAATAAAATTTATGACCAAATGCTTTTAAACCAAAAAATTTAACAAAATAAAACTAAATGTATACAAAACCAAATAAAAAATAGAAAAATAGTTTTAAAAAAGTTAAAAAAAACTATACAAAAAACGTGGGAAAGTGTGGAGTCGTGGAGAGATTAGGCGGGAAACAATGAACAATAACAACAATGATGTGTAGAAAGTCCTCGATAGGAAAGTAAAAAACCAGTATTTTTGGGACTGTCACATCTTTACGCATATAAAATTTTTTTGTTTGTTTGAAGATGAGGAAAGCTGTAAAAAATTGATGAAAAAAAAGAGGACAAAATAGTAAAAAAATCAGGGATTAAGAACTGGAGAAAAAAAGGAAAATTCAAAAATTATAGGAAGACCTCTACTGAGTTCCGATTAAACTGAGTTCCGGCCCTATTGACTTATGAAGGAATGTGTACCTCTTAATGTTCTTGGTATCATTGTATAGAGAATTAAATACACTACAAGATAACAAAAAATCAAAATTTTTGACTGATCGGTAAAAAAGTTAAGATCGATAAAGTGCCGAAGAATCACATTTTTTGAGAAAGTTAGTTTTTAAATCTTAACTTTTTTATCAATCAGTCGGAAATTTTGATCTTTTTGTATCTTGTAGTGCATTTAATCCTCTATCTGTTGGTACCAAGAATACGAAGAAGTGACCATCCCTTCATGAGTTATAGGGTCTAGACTGAACTGAACTGCTCCGAAAAAATATAAAAATTAATTTGGCATTTTCTTCTTTTATTCTGTCTTAGTTAATTATCGCCAATTTAATTTTTCTTAATTAATTAATTTTTAAATTTTATTATTTACTAGTGTACAATTTTATTACGTAATTCAATAACAAACAGTTTATTAATATTTTTGATTAATTATTTTACGCAAATTTTTGCAAAATTAAATACTTTTTTAATTTTTCTCAAAATATTTAAATAAATTTATCAAATTTTTTTATTCAGAAATTTTATTTTTGAGATTTTTTTTGTTTTTTCGGAGATACATTAACACAAAATGTTTACTACATATTTCACTTTTCTTTAAATTAAAAAAAGTTTAACGTTCTCGATCAGTCACTTTATAATTTTAATTTAATTTGACACTTTTCTGTTATTATTTACAGTCTTGGCTTTCACATACGTATTTGTTCCTCTCTCAGAACATTTAAAACTTCTCATTTTTAGTGGCAACTCCTCAACTATTTAAATTTCGCGCATTATGCAGCTTAAATCTCAAAAAATTTTTTAAATTAAATTTCAATGACCCAAAAATATATGGACACTTTATTTATGGCATAACTTTATTCAAATTAAAGTTAATGAGATAAAATAACATTTAAATGATAGAAAATTAAATAAGGAACAGATAAAGCAAAAAATGTTTAAAATGCCATCCTTTGCCTGAATACAAAGTTGAAGGCGCGCGGAAAATTTTTTTAGCAAAAGTTTGTACTACCTTGGGTGTGATTTTCTCCCCTTCCCGAACGAGTGATTGCCGGAGCGACTCCAAACTTTCGGGTTATTAAGTCCTTACCCTCATCTCCAAAATAGACCAAAAAGGGAAACCCAAGGATTCAACCCAGGTGAGTACGGTGGCCATGTTTAAAACGCGTTATTGAGCCCGGTATTTTAAATTAATTTTTATTAATTGTTGCGATTTATCAATTATCGTTCTAGTGCTCTTTTTAGACACACCTGTTTGATTATTTTTTATACACACAACTTCTTGCGCAAGTTTTACGTGTAATTTTTTTACCCTTTCCCCATTGATTTTCTTATTATTGGAAGTACATATAAAACAAAATTAATAAATTAAACACTAAAAAATAAAATAATTTGGCTAACATTTTTTATCAGTTTGTTAATATTTATTATCAATTTGTCTAAATTTCAAGATTATTATCATAAATTTGAGTAAAAAACTAATTTAATATTTTTCATATTGTCAGTATGTGTTTGTCAGTTCAAGACAGAATAGCAGAATTAAGAAAATGCCTGGGGGAGCAATTACTGCAAGATACTCCTCTTTTCAACGATAATTTTTCTTTATTGAGATGGCTACATGGATGGAACAATCGTTTTGGTAGGGTATTTATCATTGATATATGGATAGGGATTTTGTTCTCTTTTACTTCATGTTATACATTAAGATGAAATTGTGCCACGATTTAAAAGGGCTAGTCAAGTGTTTCGTTCTATGCGGATTAATGAAATGTCCTTTGATGACATTGACACTTTAAACGGCTTTACTCGCCAACTGACCAGGTTCTTAGTAACCTATATTTATACAAAAATCAAGTTTAGCGCAGCAGATTACTATCCTGGTGGTGCCCTAGGCTACGATAAAGAAGGAAATCTACTTGCATTGCAAACAATGGGTTCATAAACACCAACTTATTTATAACGAATAACGTTCTCAGGTAGATCACACCCTAAACAGTTGGCTAGATGTGGCCGTGTCAGCGACGTTTATCGCCTTTGTGTTGTAGAGACGGCATTGTTTTATAAGGCAAAAAAGATTTTTTTAATTTTTTGAAACTTGAATCTTAGCTCATTCAACTCCAAGAACGCAAACTTCAACGAAAACTTGGGCTTTGCGTGATTATAGACTTGGAAGGGTTCAATTCTGATCATTTAACTACAATCGGTTTAAAAGTCTATGCCGCCTTGTTAAAAGAATTACAAGATTTGTTTCCTGATATGTTGCGACAAGTATGATTTATCCGATACACCTCAGTTCAGTCCCGGTCTCTATAACTTCTGAAGGAATCTGTACCACTTAATGTTCTTGGTATCAGTGGATAGAAAATTAAATACATACAGAAACTAAAAAATAAACATGGGTTTATAATACATGAGTTATATAATCGGGACTGAACTGAACTGCTCCGTGTTTTCCTTCATAAATAATTTTTTACAATAATCTTAACATCATATTTTTGTATAGATTTATGTTATTAATGCTCATTATCTTGTCAAAACTGCTTATGCAATTATCAAACCAGTATTGTCGGAACAAAGTAGAGAGAAAGTTATTTTTCTCGATTCTTCTTATCATGAACAATTAGCCGAGGGTGTTGGAAGAGAAAATTTATTTCGACGTTGGGGAGGAATTAGACAGCCACTTATTGGTGATCCTGAATGGGGTACTTTACGTATTGGTGGCTTGCCTCCAAAAGGAATGAGGTAAATGTGTTTTAAAAATTAATACCAGGGGTGTTGTTTTTAAAAAGCGAAAGTCAAAAGCGAAACGCAAAGGGCGAAACTGGCACTTTCCTGATTAATACCTCATCTTAAAGATATTCTGCTGCCACAAACCCTCAACACGTACCAGAAGGTCATCTTACAAAATTAATTGTGCCAGCAAGGCAGAGACGAATTGTTGATATTTCTGTTCCTGCGCAACCCGGGTTCCCTCAACAAATGCTCCATTGGTTTTGGATAAGTTCCTCTGATGTTGATTTCGGTGTAATTAATGAAGAGGAACAAGAGGTAGAAAAAAGGTGTTAAAACCATTTACCTATTTTGTTTCTCAAGTTATGGCCAATATATCGGATATTGACAGATTATGTGCCAGAATTCGGCTCTCTTTTAGTTGAAACTGGACGTAACTACAAACTTTGTTTTGACAACACTTTTAGTCTATTTACAAAAAAAGAAATAAAATATTCTTACAAATTGGTACCAATTGAAGATACAAAAAGAAAGGAAGATAATGAAGTAAAAATTAAAAATGTTGTAAAATTAGAGGAAGAAAAGGAGAATAAACGACAAATTATAGGATGAACTGACAGGTGTGGATTGAAAATCTTGAACTGCCAAATGAAATTGAAAATTTTAAAAATTTCTACGATATATTGTCAAATAATTATCAAATAAAGGATTAGCATCATTTTTAAGATACACCCCTTCATGAGTTATAAGGCCGGGACTAAGTTGAACTGCTCCTTATTTTTTTTAGCTAACTAATCACGCCTTTCCGGTCAAGCTTAAATTTCTTTTTAAATATCCCTTTTCTTTTTTCAATCTTTGTTCACCCTTCCCTTAAGGCACAAAGTCTTTCCTTTTAGCATTTTCCCTTTTAATCCTTATTTTGCCAAAAGCTCTCTCCCCACCCCAAGAAAGAAATACCACCAAGGAAGTCCTAAAATGTGGCCATTAGCAACAACAAAAAGTCTGCTAATCGACCCAAATGGGAGCAAAAAAGTTAAAAAAGCATTGGTGTTATTTTTAAATAAAAAATTATTTATTCCTTATTTTTCGTTAAAATTCTTTTCAAAAATATTTTTCAATTTCAAACTTTTTTTAAACCTTCCTTTTGTTTTTTTAGCAAAATATAATTTCCGCTAGTTGACCATTTGCTTGAAACAAGGGCAACCTTTTAAAATGGCAAAATTGCTCAAAGTAGTTTTGCAAGCATTTTAAGACTTTTTCACACCTTCACCGCTTTACTTTCTCTAAAAAATTCCAATTTTTGAAGATTTTTTTGTTTTAATTTTTTCTGTTTTTTCTGTTTTAATTGTTAAAATTTTGTTCCACCTGCTTATTTATTCCCTTCTACTTTTTTTATTTAATTAATTTTTTTAAAGATTCGCTGTTTTCTTTCACCGATTTCTTTATTAACAAACTGATTATACTATCTATAATTTAATTATAATTAGTTTTGGAAAGAAGAAAAATTCGGAAAATTCGGAGAATCAAAAATTTTTACACTTTTGGAACAAGCATTTTTAAAAACATTTTCACACTTTCTTTGTACATTTCAAATCTATATTTTAATTTAATCCTTTAAAAACTCTTTTTTACTCACTTTATTACCAGTTTATAATGTTTGTTATTTGTTGCACGACCGACAGTCATTTTCTGTTGCGCGGAGATTATGCCATCAAAAATGCAATGATGCATGCAGCCAAAAAGGCTGTCTATCAAAACAGCAACGAGGATGCTGACCTCGCTATTTAGGGGAGTTAAAAAAGTACCGACTGACTATATTTGCTTGAATTACAAAACATCCTCGCTGGATAAACCTGCGCCACTGAATGGGCTATAACTAAGTTCATTTAAGTCAGATTTTGTTGATTTTAGTGCCATTCGACTCAGCTCGAAGAGCTCTTTCTAATGGTATATAATTTGCCATAAAAATAGGAAAAAGTAGGAAAACTGGAAAGGAAAAAAGGAGGGCGTAAACCGAATTACTACCGTTTGATTTGCCAAATTGTAGCTTTTTTTCTTTATCTTTTAAGATTTATTTTAGAAAAGCTGTGAAAACAATTCTTTAATATTTACATAATATTTTTTCATTTTTATCTAATACATTTCCTTCATATAAGCATACATTTACTCTTCTAAATAATTACCTTTTCGTTAAAGCCATTCTAAAAATAATTCTTCTACAAATGATGAGTAAATGAAGGTTAATGCTTTACGATTTTTATTTGTAATGTCCACTCTCTTAATTATTTTTCTTTCCACAAATGAAAATGTGATATTTAATTGCTATCATCTCTCATTATTAAAGGCCCAAGAATAAAGGCTATATTTATTATAGAAAGGAAAAATAATAATCCCGAAAACAACAAAACAAAGCGAGAGCGAGAGAGACGGTGACCGCTATTATTATTATCTGCACTTTGTAAATATTTCCCTCCAATAACAATCCAAATAGGGCAATGAGGATAAAGCAAAGCAAGCAAAAATGTAAATTAAGTCGGATAAAGACAAAGGGAGAGAATATTTTTAAATATATTTGCCCTAGTTTCTTTATTTTTTTATTAAAAATTTCAGTACACCTCAGTTCAGTCTCGATCCTATAACTTATGAAGGGGCTGATAATTTTTACTGTTCTTGGTACCATTCAATAGAGAATTAAATAAGCTACAAGATAACAAAAAATCAAAATTTTCGGTTGATTTACAAAAAAGTTATGATCGATAAAGTGCCGAAAAATGACATTTTTTGAAAAGTTAGTTTTTAAATCATAACTTTTTTATCAATTAGTCGAGAATTTTGATTTTTTAAAATCTTGTAGAGTATTCAATTCTCTATCCAATAGTACCAAGAATATGAAAAATTGACCATCCCTTCATAAGTTATAGGGTCGAGACTGAACTGCATCAGGAATAAACTGAACTGCTCCGTAAAGATTTGCCTAATTAATTTCCAAAAAAAACTTTTTTAACACCTTTCTATCAAATTTCTATACTCATTTCCTTCAATTTTTTATTTTCACCTAATTCATTCATGCATAGGTCATTGCCCATCTGCCATCAAATTTTCGCATTTTATCCTTGCAAAAATCCCTTCTATTCCCTTCCTCTTCTTCCAGTAAAATCTGTCTAGTTGTGTGAAATTTGACACTTTTGCACGTCTCAAGGCGCATCTGTGCTGTCACTATTTAATGTGATGAAAATACTTTTAAAGAAAATATTTGGAAAAAAATTATTTTTCGGTGAAAAAATTTAGTAGTTATTTAAAAAATAAAATGACTGGTTAATGGATATGCAGCTTTTCGGGGTTTATAAACTTTTAAGGTTAATATAAGTTTAACAATAAGGGTGAAGAAGAATGAAATTTATGGCTATAGTTTTTGTGCTATTTAAAATTTTTGGTGTTGTATTTTTCCAAAAATATCTCTCGTACGTTAATAAGTTTAAAAAGAAAGGCACAATATGTTTTTTAAATGACCACCTCCAAATAAAATTTGCTTGCGAAAGGAGGAAGGATTTTGAGCATTTATTCCAGTTTTAACACAAACTGGGATAAATGGCCTAGGGAGCAAACGAAAGGAAAAGCAGTATCTAAATTTGGACACTAATTCTGTTTGTATTTGCAAAATAAAATAAATTTTCAGTATTTCACATTCTAAAATCAAAGCTAAAATACATATCTTCCTTCTTTTCATTCGTGTTAAAAAGATATACAGGGTGTTTCGACTAAGAAGCACTATTTGAAAAATCTATAACTTTTTACTAAGTTGACAGATTTTAATGATTTTTGGTATTTTATATCCATAATTTATAAGGTTTTTTTGACATAAAAATTATGTCTAAATTCGAACCCTAACCCGAGATAATTTTGTACTCTACCGTTCTGTTTTTCCCTTTTTCCGCACAAACATTCTTACTCCCTTTTGTTTGTTACTAGCGGCGATAGACACTAGAGTAAACACTAGGCGATAGACACTACATTTTCAATACAGTATCCACTCTTCGCCATACGCAGGAAAATAAATGAAGTAAGATAGCACACAATGAAAAGAGGGAAAAAAGAGAACAGTAGAGTACGAAATTGAAACGAAATTGAAATACAGGGTTAGGGTTCGAATTTAGACATAATTTTTATGTCAAAAAAAACCTTATAAATTATGGATATAAAATACCAAAAATCATTAAAATCTGTCAACTTAGTAAAAAGTTATAGATTTTTCAAATAGTGCTTCTTAGTTGAAACACCCTGTACAATTTGTATTATTCTTTATTACTTTAAATTAACAATAAATTCCTTATTGTACTTGTACAATCCTCTTAACTATATTCTCTCCTAATTTGCAAAATCGGCTGTCACAAACCAGATCCGCTCTTTTTTTTCTCATCGTTTTGCATAGCAAAGTATGCTCTTTCAGATCTAATAAAGCCATGTCAAGAGCGTTCTCTTCCCTTTAGCTTTCCATAAAGCATATGTATTTTAAAAAAAATCAAAAGAATTTTTTTTATTTATTTCTTCATCACTTTTCTCCCTAGAACATGTAAAATTATTGTAAAAATAGTGTGACTAAAGGAATGTTTTTTACAATTTTTATTTCTGTAAAGATTTTTCCGGAGCAGTTTAGTCCAGTCCCGTCGCAGTTCAGTCGCAACCCTATAACTCATGAAAGGATCGTCACTTCCTTGTGTTCTTGGTACCGTTGGATAGAGAATAGGATCAGGACTGAAGTGAGTCGGGACTGTCCTGAGGACTACCGTATTTTATAATTATACTCTCTTAATAATTTAATCTATGTTGCTAATCATTAGCATTTCTAAATGAATTGTTTAGCTTAAAACTTGTGTTAAAAGAGCATTTATTCTCTCTTTATTTTGCCTCTCCTAATTGCGTGTTCCGCAAATACTTTTCCTTATTTTCCGGCTTCCATTTAAGACAGATTTAAAAATGATACAACAAATAAACAACAAATGGCAACGAGGCAGCATAGTTTTGCCTAAATTTAAAATTTGGACAGGAAACTGATGAGCGAAATGAAAAAGGCACATAAAAGAATTCCCTCTCCAAAAAAGGAGGAGGATTCTTTTCTCGATGGAATTTGGCTTGTTAAAAATTTTTCGGATTTCTTCTAATTTATACATATTTTATCCACAAGAAGTCGTTCATTTTTTATTACAAATTTTTTTGGAATAAACAAAAATGGATGAGTTCGAAATTTGAAATATGCCGAATCTGTTTCCGGATTTCAAAAAAAAATTTTTCCGGAAAATCAGATTCCGGACTACCAGATCAGAAAAATCCGAATCCTGTCCTGTTTTGAACTCTAATTATTGGACTGATTTTGTCTTCATTCTTCTCGATAAATTTTCAAAAACCGTTTATTAATTGGCAACTAATTATTCCATAATTCTAATTGTTTTTCTTAAACATTTTTAATAATTAATCCTTCCTATAACCTTTAATCCTTTTCAGCAACCAGTTCTGCATTTAATGCCTCAATGAATACTTAAAAAACTGAATACTAGGTGGATAAATATGCGAAAATAGTGTAGTAATAAGTAAGGGCAAATTTAGTGAATGGATGATCCTAAAATTGCTGCTCGCGCATTCAGCAGATTTTCAAGCGAAGAGCGGATTAAGGCCAGGAAATGGGGAGCGATTATGTTACAGCAGATGGGTGAATACTTAAAAATACATTACATATTTTCATCTATCTGTTATTTTCTAATTTAGAAATTCTACTTTTTAGGGTCAAAAATTTTTTAAACGCTCCTATTTAGACCTTAAATTTGGTTTTAATATTTTTTCATTCACATTTTTGTAATCCCAATATTTTATCCTTTTTTTGTCCCAATCTTTCACATTCCTTCCATTGATTGGACAGCGCAACATGGTCAAAATCCTTTCATATTACACCAACTACCCATCTTTTTTTTGTCACCGCCCCATTATTCTTTCCTATCCATTGTTCGTTAAATGAAGTGTTTGTCTTGGTTTTAAGGGCTTGGTGGTGGTTGTGGTCTTGCGGCGATGAGCCGATTGGAGTGCTTTTAAGATAACGAATGTTTAGCAAAAGGGAAAATAAAGAGATCAATACAATACGGGCCATAAATAAATTTGTCATGGAAGTACAGTTGGAATAGTCTTGGGCAAAATTTCAAAGATAAGCAATCATCACTAGCAACGACAAAAAAATTTTAATTTGAGAGGGTCTCATTTGCATCCTCCTTCAAACATTTCCTTAGTGAATGACCCCCCTTTGTTCCCCAGCCAAACTTTTTTTATTCGGAGGGTGAAGGGTGTCTCTTCCGTCCAGCTAATCAATTCATCGCCGAGTGGGGGATACACTGAACGATTGCCCTTCTCTCTATCCGTTGTCCTCTGTTCTTCCATTCCCTTTATTCAACAAAAATTCTTCCCCATTTGCGCCCTCCTTTCTACCCCTTCCCCCAAAAAATATGGGGGGTGTTTGCGATAGTATATACGAACTTCCCTTTTTCTTCTCATCCAAATGTAGTAAATTCTTCCTTCCAAATTGATATTTTATAAGCTTATAAAGTAGCTAACCGAAAATAGCAGATCGATTCACTTGATTGGGTTTGAAGGTCAGTTAGGAAGGGGCAACTAGTATCATGCTCAGATGAATCATCTTATTCTTTCATTTAAATTTATATTAAATTGCATTCTAACTTTGTTTTTTTTCAAATTTCAAACTCTCCTTTTCACTGACCATTTTGAGCTTTTTTGCTTATCAGTATTTTTAAATTTCAGTCTAAACGGGCTTTCATAACTTCATTCCTATTATAATGAGTTTTTGAACTTTCAATCTTTTTCTTCATCAATATCCGAATGTTTAAACACACCAAGATTTTTGACGTGCCTTGTTTCAGTGGACAAGATCTCCCAAATTTTAACAACAATAAATGCCAATACCGCAATCGCCAAAAACAACGACAAACTCTGGCAACAAAGGGCAACCCTCAGCAAAATTCCCGGACGGTTCACAGCCTTGAATTGAGTGCTAACCAAAGAAGGGAACCATCCTTTAAACTAGATCGATGGAGCATCAAAGTTGAAAATTTTCAAAAAAAAATTTCCTCGGAATTTGTCTACTTCCGATAGATTAACAACAAAAACTATATTTATTTTATTATTTTTGCTAATTTTAATTATTTCATCAGTACAAATTAATGGAGAAGATCAACAACGAAAACAACAAGATGAAGCGATTTTAGCTGTTTTTCGAGATAGCTATGAAGGACATGAAGTGGAATTACAGAGGATGGTCAGTTTTTCTGTTACTTGTGTATTTTACCCCCCATAAACTCCAACCTTTTTTCTTCCCTCTTTTGTTTGGGTCAATATTTTAATTGTTTATTTCAGAAAGTAATTCCCTTTATAAGAAAGGAGGAGGGAAGAAAAAACGACGAGGACTATGGGGGGTAAACTACATAAGTACCGCTTTTTATTTAAAAATCAGCTTCTTTAATCAAAAAGTGTCTCATTTAGGTCATGGATAGATCTACAGGACGCCTTTATGTTGGAGCTGTTAATCACTTGTATGATTTATCACCAGAAGGATTGGCTATCCGAGAACATGCTCTAACTGGACCTCGTGCTGATTCTGTTCTTTGTGCAGGTGAATTTAATTTTAAAAATTTTTTTCAATTTTTGAATTTAATTTTATGAAAAATTCTAACTTTGTCTATCGCCGTCATTTGCAAAAAAAAATTAAAAGGGAAGGAAACTAATCGGTTTTTTAAAATAAAAGAGACAAAGCAGAATGAAAGAGGATAGATTTATAGCCAAGATAAGCAAAGTTTAGGGCGCAAAGGTAAATCAGATGGAATGAGATCATAAGCATTTGAAGATATTGATATTTTAGTCAAAAATAGGGGAAACCGAAGGAAATTTTTAATCGAAGTTAATTTTAGAGAGTTTTTGAATGGGTCTATCCCAGAAGGTCAACTTACCCAGAAGAGTTAAAGCCAAATATTTGAGAGATAACGACAGATTTGTGCAGATTAAGACGGATTTGTGGGTATTAAGGGGGATATCGAGGATTTGGGAGGATTTTTGGACTTGAATTTTTGGGTCATTTGACTTCCTGGATCACCTCCTAGCCTGTTTAAATAAAAATTTTTTAATTTTTTAAATAATAGCAAGTCTATTTATTTATTTTTGCATAATTTTTGTCTCTTTTAAATTTGCATAATCGCAATATAAACAAATAAAAAATTTCAAGGGCCCATATAATTTGAAAGAAAAAACAAGCGCAGTGTCAGGCGGAGATTGACAATAAGAAAAAATTGAGAGAGAAAATAGAAAAAAATAAGAAAAATGCCGACTAAAAATAAAATTTTTTAATTGTTTTTTAATTTCAGATGCCTTAAATATATGCAAAGAACCATTAGTACCAACAGATTCACATATAAAGGCGTTGGCAATATATCCGGATTCTAACAAATTGATTGAATGCACCTCTCTTTATCAGGTAACTTGAGAGAATTTTATTTGATTTTTCTACCTATTTTGGTAATGCCGAGTTTCGTACCTATTTCTTCTATTTCGGCGAAAACGTAAATCTAATAGAACTGAGGAAATCTGACTCTTAAGCACTTTTTAAGAAAGAAATGAAGGGGGCACGAAACTCTGTATTACACCTATTTTACCTATTTGTAGGGCCGTTGCCGCACCAGAAACTTGTCAAACATTCGCAGAGAGAGTGATGTTCGATTCTCTAGACCTGGAATTGTACCTAATGATGATCATTCTTCTGCTCAAATATTTGTTGGTTCTGGTCCATCGACAGGAGGGTCTTCATCTCAACCACGTGTTCTTTATGTTGGATCCACCTACGTTCCTATTAGCTTAGGTTAGTTTAGCCATAAATTTTACTTAATTTGTATTCCTCTAGGACCCCGAGATGCTTTAGACGTGCCTTCAGTCTCCTCCATTTCACTGGAAAATGGCCGCCTTTTTGAGTTTACAGAGCAGTCAATCAGTTCTGGAACCTATATGAAACTGGATTATAGAAGGATGCCGTTTTTTAGGTACTTATTGTTAGTTTTCTCATTTTAGTTAATTTTAATTTTAGAATTGACTATGTTGGTGGTTTTGAGGCAAATGGTTTCGCTTATTTTGCCACAAGACAGCCTAAATATACACCGCAACCTGATGCCAAACCGATTATTCCAAAGGTTTTTTAAAACAAAAATTTTATTTATAATCATTAATTTTTCTAATAGTTGGTTCGAGTCTGTACTCAAGATCCAAATTTCTACTCATATACTGAAGCTCCATTAGAGTGTGAATGGGCGGGCCAGAGTTACAATCTTCTCCAAGCAATTTATTTGGCCAATGCTGGGTTTGATCTTGGTAACAATTTTTTCATATTTTAATCTAGTATTAAATTCCAAATTATTTAGCGGCAACAATGCGATTAAAACCAACTGATCTTGTTCTGTTTGGAGCATTTGCAAGAGGGGAAGGCCCAGAGAGGAACCTAACAACTCGAGATTCTGCGTTATGTGCTTTTTCTCTTCGACATATCGAAGCCAAATTTTTTGAGAATGTTCGTGTCTGTTACAACGGAAATACACGTACAAACCTTCCTTGGTTCAATTCTGATAAAATGTGTACGGCAACACGATATCCTGACTCTGAAATTATGTGTGGCAAAGATGTGAATAGCTATATCGGTGGAGAGATACCAATTTCGGCTAGAGCCTTCCTCGTGGATCGAACTTCACTTTTTACTTCCTTAGCCATTTCATCCGTTCAAACAGCTACTGTTGCATTTATTGGCACGAGTGATGGTGTTCTTCATAAGGTATTGCTTTTTTCTTCTTAAGGATTTAAAATGTTTGCTTTTGAATATTTAGGCGTTACTAGAAGGTGATGATGGACAATCACACATCTTTAAGTCAATCCAAGTTAGTAGCGATGGAACTCCTATCTTGCAGGACATGGAATTGGACGAAAAGAAGGGATTTCTATACGTACTACAAAAGCGGGCGCTATACAAGGTTTTCATTAATAACAATATTTACCATTTCTGAAATTTCTTCAGATAAACATTCGTCTTTGCGCTCAATCACAAGATTGTCACTCTTGTTTGAATGCTGGTGATCCTTACTGTGGTTGGTGTTTAAAACCATCGGCATGTACAACACAAGAAGTTTGTGAGGCGGATGCTTTAAATCCACGTGCAGACTGGCTTAATTACAAATCAGGGCGTTGTCCTGCTATTCGTTCAGTGGAACCACGAGAGCAACAAATTACATTTTCACGTCCTATTCATGTTCGTATTGAAAATGCGCCACCAGCACTTGCTAGTCATGATGGATCAACTAAAGCAACGCTCTACTGTTCTTTTTATTTTCCAAATCATTTGCTAGTCAATGTTTCAGCTATTTCTAGAGAAGGAGATCAGTAAGTTCAAATTTATTATGGTTTAATAAGTCCTGTTTATTTCAGAGTTGTTTGCGCAACACCAATTCGTTCAAACCTCAAGACTCTTTTGGCTCGAACTCAGACAATAAACGACGTAGCACGGGATGGACTTGTTGCTCGTCTATCAATAGTTCAAATTGCTGATTCCGCCGTGCTTGCTTCAACTAATTTTACTTTCTTTGATTGTCATCAATTAATCAGTTGTCAAGAATGTGCTTCTGTTCGTTTTAGGTATATTAATTTTATCAAGTGGGTCGTAGTTATTATTTCCAGTTTATGCGATTGGTGCACACTAACTGCTAAATGTGTCCCAAATGCTGAGGACGTTTGTCAAGGAGAATCACTTGTTAACTCCGTCAGTGTAAGTAATAAATGTTTGTCATTTTAAAAATGTAATTTTAGAGAATTGGTCCTTCTTCGCGACGGGGCCCTGAATTCTGTCCTCAATTTTCATCTCCAGATGGCGATTTGTTTGTTTCATCAGGTCAGCGTCGCAGAGTTAAAGTTCAGGTTGTTTTGCTGTTGATTATATTCGGTTATGATTTTTTAAACAATTTAGGCTACCAATTTACATGAACAAATGGGGGCCTTCAAATGCCAATATACTCTAATTGAGCAAAATAGTGTTACGCATGAAAAATTGGCACAGCGAGAAGGAAATGAGATTGTGTTTGTTTTATAATATTCTGTATCTGTATAATATTTATATTTCAGTTGTGAGGAGATGCTTTTTGAATTTAACGGTTCTGGTGATGGTAATGGGACTGGTACAGCTCTATTTAATATTGTTTGGGCACCACCTGGTTTAACAACTTCTACTATTTTTCACCCGCTTGATAACAGTCAAAAAATGAAAGTGGTCTGTTTTAATTGTTTTACTGATTTGACTATTAATTATTAGATAATTTATCGGTGTCAACAATTGGCCACAAACTGTGGCCTTTGTTTAGGACTGGATTCGAGAAAGTTTGAATGTGGATGGTGTGAAAATGAGGGAATTTGTTCTCCAAAAAATGACTGCAAAGAAGGTTTTGTTTAGCATAATTTTTGTTGTTTTATTTTTGTATTCGTGTCAGGATGGCTTTCACGTGGAAGCAACAACTTAGTTTGCCCTAATCCTCGAATTGATGATTTTCAACCGCAGAAAGGTTAATTACTCTACTATATTTAGATCTAATAACATTGGTAAATAGGTCCAATCAATGGAGGAACAAAAATAACTATTCATGGCACTAATTTGGGTTTAAGTTTTGCTGATGTTCGTGATACTGTGCGGGTTGCGAGTGCTAAATGTGATGTCAGTGAGGCAGAGTATTTGCCTTCTCGACGCATTGTTTGCTACACAAGAGCACCTAGCACACGTCAAAAGCAGGGACAGGTTTAAAATTTTATTTTAGTAAAGCCTTAAAAACTATTTCAGCACGTGATTGTACGTTTGCGTGATGATCGTAAATACACGGCTGTTTCTACGCAGACTTTCACTTACACAAACCCTCAAATATCATCTTTTCAGCCATTTAGAGGACCAAAAAGTGGTGGAACAGATTTGACAGTAATTTAAAAATTCTAAATACAAATAAAAAAATTTTTCACAGATTCTTGGTATGGATCTCGACTCTGGTATTACTTTTAACCTCAGTATTGGTAATTCACCCTGTGAGCTGCGTCAAAGGTCTTCTTCTATGGTCGTATGTAGAACGGGTCCAGCTTCATCTGAAAAGCCTGAGTATTTGGTTTTGAATGCAGATGGTACTCAAATACGGGTCGATAATGTTCAATTTCAATACACGTTAGAATTTATATCTATTCTGATATTAAGCTTTTTTTAGTGCCAATCCTTCAATTGATCGTGTTCCAAAACCTGTTTCCACTATTTCTGGTGGAATTCTAATTGATGTACATGGCAATGGTTTGGATCTATTGCAGCGGCCTCGAATGATGATCAACTGGGAAGGACAGACCTTTTGGGGCGCTAAATGTGAAATAATTGACGAGCATCTAATGGTTTCTTTTTAATATAAATTTATTGTTCTATTTTAAAAAATCTTCAGATATGTAGAACTCCACCTTTAGAATTATCTTTGGATCGCCGTATTCAATTGAGCATTGAACGGCCTTTGCGAGTAGATTATGGATTCGATTTGGATGGCGCACTCACTGGGTATGTTTCTAATTTACATGACGAATTTCTTTAATAATTTTAGCAACTTGACTTCATCAGCAGACCGAACACTTCCTAAACTATTGGTTTTTTTTGATCCACGTCTTCAACCTCTCCCTGAAGTGCTAACTGTCCGACCAGTAATTTTATTATGAGTCTTTATTCACTGTTTTTCTCATTTAGGGAGGAGATTTAGTTCTAAAGGGGCACAATCTAAATTTGGCAGCGTCTGCACGCGATGTTCGTGTCACTGTTGGAGGTATGCCATGTAATGTAACTGCATTGGCTATTAATACACTCACATGTGTTTTACCTCAACACTTGGATGAAGGACAACGCGATGAACAAATGGATGTGCTAGTTTATATCGGAGACAAAATGTAACATTACGAATTTTTTAAATTAAAATTTTTGAAAATTTAAACCTCTAATTTTTTTAATATTTAGAGAGAAGGTCGGAGAGGCGTCTCAACACTTTCGGGTTCCAGATCCTTCACAATGGCTTATTTTAACTGTTGCTGTTGCCTTCCTTGGAGTATTTTTGGCATTGATGCTTTTCGTTTTTTATCGTCGCAAAGCTACTTGTCACAATAGACAATTGCATTATTTAAAGGCTCAAATGAATTCAATCGAGATGCGCGTTGCACAAGAGTGCAAAGAAGCTTTTCACGAATTACAAACAAAGTATTTTTAATTTAAACCTTATTTTATGATTTTAATTCATCTCTCAAATTTTTAGTATGAATGCTTTGGCTGGTAGTGTGCCACAGGGTGCGTCTTTCATCCCTTTTCTGCCATATTCAGTTTATGCCGCTCGTATTCTTTTTCCACATTTTTCTGGTACTTCACCGGCATCATTGCATCCTGTCCTAAGAGAATTGACTGTTGAACAAGATAGAGCTTTACAAGTAGAAAGTAGCTTAAGGCAATTGCACTGCCTTCTCCAGAATCGTATTTTTCTTCTATGCTTTGTTCGTTCTATTGATGCTAACAAATATTTGCTGGTAAAGGATCGTGTTTATGTTGGTTCTCTTTTAATGGTTGTTCTACAGGTTTACAATTTTTACAAAAATTGTCTAACCTTATTTTATAGCGTGACTTTAATGTGCTCACTGACGTGCTCAAACAATTGCTCAGGGATTTAATTAGACGGAATGTTGAGAGTAAATTTCAACCAAAAATTCTTTTTCGTAGGGCAGAATCTGTGGCTGAAAGAATGGTCTGATTAATGTCTACAATAAGATATTGAGTTTTCTTTTTTAGTTATCTGCCTGGTTTGCATTTCTCATGTATAAACATTTGAGGAGAAGTGCTGGCAAACAACTTTATCAACTTTACTGGGCTACAAAACAACAAACTGAAAAAGGACCGCAAGATGCTATAACAATGGATGCCCGTTATTCCCTTTCAGAGGAAAAACTTTTGCGTGCTTCTGTTGACTTTAGGGAGCTAACAATTTTTATTTTGTCTGACTCAAATTCTACAGTTTGTGATACACAAGTTCGTGTACTTGATTGTGATTCTATTGGACAGGTTTTGTTTATTTTAATTTCTAAAATTAAAAAAAAGATCAATTTAAGGTTAAAGAGCGTTGTTTGGATGCTAAATATAAAACAACACCTTTTTCTGAACGTCCACTATCTTCAGAAATTGATCTTGAATTGCGTACACCAAAACATAGGATGGTTTTGCAAGATCTAGATGGAAGTTCTCGATTTGAAGCAGGCGGTTTTTGGCGGTATAACACTCTTGCTCATTACAAGGTTGAGGATAAAGCAACATTTGCACTTGTTCCTAGAAATGCCACCTCATCTTCTTACAATCTTTCTCTGGTTATTAAAACTTCTCTTAATACTAATACTCTGTATTATTTTTTAGATTTCTGATAAATCTGACAAATCTTCTGGTGGTTCTTTTGCATTTTCTTCTACCCATTTTCATCAATACACTGCTACAGCCAATAGTCCAGTTCTTCAAAAAACTTCTGCTGTTGGTGGTGGAGGTTCTTTTTTCACTACTGGCTCTATTGGCGGTCATTCTATAGCTGGCGGTGGAAGGTCGGCCGCAGATACTTTTGCAGCTGGCGGCACTGGAACAATGCGTGTTTTTCATTTGGTCAGGCCACCAAACTCAAATGTTTCTCATGGAACAGAAGGTCAAGAACAGAAAATGGTCACTGAAATTTATTTAACAAGGCTGCTGACAATGAAAGGGACATTACAAAAGTTTTAATATATTTTTTAAGCTCTAGATAAATCCATATTTTAGGTTCATTGAGGATATGCTTGAAACTATTTTCTCTTCAACCTCATCACCTCAATCTCCTTTCCCATATTGTGTAAAGTATATGTTTGATTTCCTTGATGATCAAGCTCGTGAACATGGAATTGTCGACCCTGAAGTGGTGAGTTTTTGATATTGGTTCTAAATCAGATAAATTTTTTCCTATTTGTTATTCAGGTGCATGTATGGAAGAGCAATTCACTACCACTTCGTTTTTGGGTTAACCTTATTAAGAACCCTGATTTCATTTTTGACATCCAAAAGCCGACACGCATTGAAGGATCTCTAAATGTTGTGGCCCAAACTCTTATGGATGCATGTTCTACTCATGAACAACATTTAACGAAAGACTCACCAAGTAGTAAACTTCTTTTTGCAAATGAGATGGACAAATATCGTCAATGGGTTCAGCGTTTTTATACTCAAATTGCAGAGGCAGAGCCAATTCCTGATAGAGTAAATACTTAAAATTATCTAAACAATTTATAATCTTCCTAGGAGATGGCTATGCTTTTGGCTGAAGAGAGTCAAGAACATGGACAAGAATTTATGATTTACTCGGCTCTTAACGAAATTTATTCTTATGTGAATCAAAATAAGGTTGTCTTTTAATAACCACGTTGAGATATTTTATTTTAATTTTCATAGGAAATGCTTTTTGAAGAATTGAGCCAAAATGAATTTGCTTTGCAACAACAACTACCTGAGGCTCTTCAAAAATTATTAGATACAATGGAAGTTCCTCCCGATGCTCAATTCAACGGTTCAATGTTACTATCGGATACTTATGCCGATTCGAAGACCAAACTTGTAACACACAACGGTAACTTTTATTAGCCATCATTATAGCTTTTCTCATCCTTTTTTTCATCATATAAATTTAATTATAATCTTTATTCTCCCTTCTTTTACTATAACTTTGTTATCTGATCATTGTGACTTCAGGATTACTCGATTCTAGCTACTTTTTTCGTTAACTGCTTTAAGATATGTTTTTTTCGAGATTTCCTTCTGCCCTAAACTCATGGGGCCAGTAAATCGTAGAGATGACTTATCAAACAATTTTACGGCTTGTTACACTCTTCATCGCTACGTCATCATAATCCTTAAGTCACTCGTATATCCCCAAGCCATTTTAAACGGGTCCAAATAATTTTTTTTAATTTTTTCATTCCAACATTTTTTGTATTTTATTTATATACATTATATTTTAGACATTTTAATAAATTGTATTTAATAAAAATTGTATTATGCATATTTATAAAAATTTGATAAAAAGTTCTATTACCTTAATATTTGTAGTTTCTACTCATTTAATAATTTTTATTTGAAATTTAAATAATATAAACAATTAAATTTACCATTAAAAATGCCGAAACCAGAATTCTAATTATCTCGAATTTTAATATGGATGGTAATGAGGATGATGAATTTTGTTCATTTTCATCTTGTACGTCCTTTTCTCGTTCAATTGATGAAATATCATCATCTTCGTTTTGTCTTTCAACTTCAAGACTGTTTGAGGCAACTACGGCGGTTGGAATATCTACAATAAGATGTTCATTGGCAACAAATGAAGAGAAATTTGAAGAAGAGGTTAGATTTTTCATTAATATTTTTTCATTTTTTTGTAGATGCTTTTCCATTGGATGATTGGTCGTTATGTTTGGATCCTTTCCATCGTTATTATGCCTATTTTCTGTTGAATGATCAAAATGGATTAGAGGAACGCGGATTTGGTTCATTTGGCTTTGGTTGACAAATTCTATTTCTATGTGGCCTCGATTTGTGGCTTAGAATTGAAAGGTTAATTGAAAATTTAAAAAAAATTATACATTCACTCCCATGATATTTCCATTGATAATCATTTTCCGATTTATATTTTTCATCACGCCCAATTTTTGACTCCCCTTTTGCGTATAGCAAAAATATTTTTCCCGGACCAAGTGGATGATCAGTCGGTTCGATTTCTGTAAAATAATTTAAGATTTCTAACATCTTTTTATATTTTGGTCTTTTCAATATGACCCCCCAGAAAACCTGATATAAGTCTTCGAAGCATTAATAAACTTCTATTTCCAGTTTGTAATCCGTATGCGGCACTCAACGATTCCTCTCCATCCAGCAATGAATCGCGAAGAGGACTACTCATATCTCGTGAATATAAATCTTCAATATGCAGCAAATTCCCTTCTCGAATTGAGCCCATTATCATATCAACACATTCCATTGGATGCAATGGTTGTTCGAGCCATTCACGGGCTGTGTTTTGAAGTAAGTTTACTATTTAAAAAATTTATTTTCTTACAAAATCCGCTTGTTTGGACATTTTTCTGCTCTAATGACGAAATCATTTGAGGGAAAAGTCGACAAGAAGGAGGTATTTGGAGGGGTCTCCATCCAAGTCCAATCCATTTGTGTAAATGTGTAGTCCAAAAATCCAGAATTATTTCTAGTTGATTTCCCACTAAGCGCCAATGTAAACGATCTCCCTCATCCGTTTCCTCTGTATTTAGCGTCTTGCTTGAATAGCAATCTGGATTGAAAAGTCCGTAGCGAAGATTGCCATTGGCCTCGGCATTAGGACTAGGACCAACATGTCGGAAGCAATTTTGGTCCTCGGGATCAGGATCAGATCCAAGAATAAACAAAATTAAATTATTTTTGAAATGATTTCACTCCTTTCAAAAATTTTTTCTTTTAACTCACTTCGTTCACAGTTTGTTCCAAAAAATCCAAATTGACAAAAACAAGATTTATGGCCTTGCCTAATGGCGTCTGCTACGCATTTTCCATTAGGGCCGCATTCTAAATCATCTGCGCAATCATCTAACCATCAATGAAATATATTTATCTTTCATATTAATAATTAATTTCACACCTTTATATTGACAGTATTGACCCGAGAATCCATGTGAACATTGGCAACTGCCACTACTTCCTTCATCCTCCCATATACCATTACCAAAACAATTCTATTAAAAATTAATAAATGTTAATAATTTTGGTGCTGTATCGGTATAACCATTGGTGCTGTATTGGATATATCCACCTCGGCACAACTCCTCTCAAAACTAGAATTATCATTGTTAGTTTGTGCTTTAATCTTCTCAATAAGTAATGTACAATTTCGACATTCAACGGGAAAACGAATTTCTACAGATTGCTGAACAGCACTAAAATTATAAATTCTTAACATAAGTTACCTATTTTTAATTTTATATCATCTATTCTACCTTGCCATTTGTCTTGCTGTTACTCCATGTCCTAAAAGTAATGGCACTCTCTCACTTTCTAACTCATTTCCTTTATAATCAAGCAATCGTATCTTAACCTGCTATTTAAAAATTATTTAAAAGATAATTCTTATCATTTATCACATTTTCGTTCCTCTGAGGCGTCTTTGCTAAATGCCAGCTTATATTATAATTTCTGCCGACTTGGAAGCTTGTTAATTGGCCTAAATTAAACATTTTAAAAGTAAATCCTATTAAATTACTTCTTTCCGATTTTGGAACCCCGCAAGGTCCAAGCGTTCTTCTGTTGTCTAAAAAGTCGAATGGTGGATATCGTGCTTCCGGAAATGTTAAGATGATGTGACCTTCCACGAATTTAAAAATTAAAAATAAGAAAATAATTAGACGATTAAGCATCTTAAATAGAAATATTAAAAAATATTTTCGAAGAATCGTTCCGAATTTGACCAATATTTTTTCATCTGTTGAAATCCTGAATGATTTTTTTCTGGAAGACAAAAGAGGAAAATGAATGCTTCTATTTAATCTTTTTAAGGAGATTTTTGAACAAATCTTATAATGTACGGCCATCTTTACGGAAATTTTTTTGTCTTTTCTCTCTCTCACTCATGCTAAAAACAGCCAAAGGCAATTACGGACGAATGGTTTTGAGATTGAACAAATGAGTTTGGTCGTTGTTGTTGTTGACTTTGGATAAATTAAGATTTGAAGAGGAGGGAAAAAGTTGCTAGTTTTTCGGACATTATGTATTTGAAAAGGATTGATTTTTAAGGACCTAGTTCCCCAAAAGTTAACATGGTATGGAACTAAAAAATCTTTTAAAAAATTGCATTGTGCGTGCGATTAATGAAAAATAAACTGCTTAATCGAAGAGTCGTTTCTGCGGAATATCACAAAGCTATTTTTATTAATCATTTCTCAATCAAAATTGTGAAGAGTTCTCATGATAATATATTAAAGCGCGAGAATATATTCAATCATTTTATGAGCCTTTTTTTACTTATCTTTTGCTATATTTTTGGCTTATCCTTTTCAAATCTTTAATTTATAGTTAAACATCGTTAATTTTTGAATTTTTTTTCAAAAAATTTTTTTTTAATTTCTCATAGTCTAATTCTCATGCTATTCATTTCCGGCGACATAAATTTTATATTATTTCGCTTATATTTTCAATGAGAAAGTTGGAAAAATTGAATAAATACCCGTATGCCGCCCCACGCTTTTTATTTTATTACCAGCACTTTTATTAGATAATTCAATTACTTTTCTCTTTTTTTTATTTGCCGCCTTATTTTTCAATTGTTTTTTTTTCTTATTCTTTCTTTCAGTTTTATGGACTGGGGTGGTTCAATAAATAATCAAATTAAATTTATTATCGACACAATCCTAACTGCTTCCTATAAATATTTTTTAAACATGTTTACATTTTTCTGGAATATTTTTTTGTAATTTTATTTTGGAATCAAATTAATACATGCATATTTTATAGGGTACACCTCCACTGAGTCTCGATGCAACTGACTCCCGGCCCCTATAATTTTAACTATCCTTAAAGTTTTTTTTTATTTCTCGTTCAATTTAACTACAAAATTTTTTCCAACGAAAGAATTTAAATTAATTTTCGATTTCTTTAAGCCTCCTTTCAAGTATTCAATTCTGAAGTTTTTTTATTTAAATATAGCTTTTCAAGTTATGTTTTCATTTCATGAGAGAGAAACTCTCAAAATGATTGATGAGTATAAGCTGCTTGCTGCTGCCTTTTTTAAAATTATTTTATAAAAAACATAAATTAACTTTTTAAATATTCTACTCAATTTCCTTTTTTAACCTTGTGCTTTTACTAACAAAATAATTCTTTAAATAATTTATGTTTATAAAAATTCTTTTTTTCATTCATTGTTTAGAGACCAGCCTTTCTTTTCTTTCAAACACTTTTCAAGGCAATTCGTTTTATCTTCTTTTCTACACAAAGTTCTTAAATTTCTTAGAACTATAGATTCACAGACTAGCGCAAAAAAAACTAGGTGAATTTAAATAGATAAGAGGAGCAACTCAATATCCTAACGAGAACACTTCTTTTTGTCTTCAAGTATAATTTTGATTTCTCTCTCATTTAAACTGAAATAAAAGCTTTATTTTATTAAATTAAAATGAAAAGCTAAATTTGAAAATTACTAATTTTAAAGTTTAAACGAAAACCCTTTAACTGCTCTAATTAAAGCCTGGCTTTTTTAGAAGCTCATATCGAATACAAGCCCACCCAAGGAAGCACAGTGAAAAATAAACGCTTCTTCTCTAATTGAACCCCACTCAAAATGGCCCTTTGATAAATAAGAATTTTAATGGTTTGATTAGTGCATTTACGATAATTCCGGAATTTTATATATTTTCAGTTGCGCATCTCTCCAATAATTTTTAACTTTAATTTTATCAACTTGTTTATATAAACTTAAATTTTAAATGATTTATTTTTATGCTTGTTCATTCTATAAACAATAACGCCAACTGTTTGCTTAACTCTCTTTTGTTAATTCACCACTAATTACCCTCATTCTAACTAACAATTGTTAGAGGCAACTTTCTTTTGGTTTCCAGCTTCTATTTCCGTTCTTTTTTTAAGTGGCCCTCTTCAAAAAAATTACTCAATTAACTCTATAAATCATTTTTGGTGATTAACGTCATTTATTTGGTTAATCACTTGATTTTTTAAATTTATTTGGTGGTAGATGGCAGAGGTAGATCAGAATTCCAGTTCTATTTTCCTTCCGATTTCCGAAATTTACGCTGATCTCCTATTTCAGAGTTCCGACTTTTGAGCTATTTCCTATTTCCGACAGTTCCAATTTCCGAGATTTTCGATTTCCGATAGCTCCGATTTCCGACATTTCTGATTTCTTACAGTTGATTTCCAACAGGTACGATTTCCTACAGTTTCGATTTCCGACAGTCTCGATTTACAGCATCTTCTTTATGGGAGATGAAACAAATCTTTAAAATATTTTTTTGTTCAAGCTGGCGCTTTAACATTTAATTTTCATATCCTCATGCCTTTATATTTTTTACTACCTTTTTTTGAAAAGCACTTCTCTTTTTAGCACAAAATAAATTGAATTTGGCAGAATCGCGCTTTTCAATTGCTATTACTTTTAAAAAAATAAACTTTTCGACCTTTTAGCTTCTTTTTCTCTCAATCTTAAAAAATTTATTTTTAAAATTTTACTAGATTTTTTCGAAATTTTTAAAAATAAAAGATAATTTCGAAATATTAATATAGCAAATGGAAATGCTACATCATTATTTTTTATTGTTTGTTGAATTTTAAATTTGCCCCAAAATTTATAATTTATTCTTTCTCATACACAATATCCGCATTTTTGAAATATAAATTTTGGAATGCCCAATTACCCATATACTAGTTTAAAATTTTTTAGCATTGTAAAAAATAGGGGCAGATGACAGACATAATCAAACAAAGTGCCAAAAACCTCTTCTTTCCACACCACACCTCTTTCCATATACCTCTTTTCTATCCTAACTACTCATTTGAGTGTGAAATCTGTTGTTTTGTAGAGAAATAATTTTTCTAAAAATTATTTATTTTACTATTTTGAATTGGGAGATACTTATTGAAACTTTTCTATTTATCGTTAAATAATCTTATCCTTTTTTATATTCTTACAAGCATGCTTAAATCATATTTAGTGCCCCTTTGGGATTTTCATCCAAAAGTCACTTTCCTACCCAAAATATTATTGTTTGCTAAATTTTGTTTATAAATTTTTCGTTTATTTGTTAGAAACTTAATTTTCCCTTAATTATTATAGTTTATGTATTTGGCATCCGTTTCTATTACTAATAGTACAACTGTTGCCAATACAGAAAAGACCAGAAATGCCTCTTTATTTGATATTTCTACTTATTCAATGATTGAGTTAAACCCCTCAAACGATCCTTCTATCTCACTAGAAAACAATTTGTTTTTGCTTCCGACTGCAAAAGAAATACAACATGGACCCGAAATCTTTCTTTATGGCTTCATTCTTGTTTGTACATATTTGAATAGGTTAAAATCTGAAACTCTTTTCAGATACTTATTCCCACAGCAACAATTCTTGGCAATTTTCTTGTAATTATTTCTGTTCTACGCTTTAAGTCTCTACATTCAGCTATCAATTTTCTTATCCTTGGTTTAGCTGTTGCTGATTTTATGGTTGCTCTTTTTGTGATGCCTTATGCTGTTTATGTATATGTAAATTCTTTTAAAATTTTTAAGGAGATAAAGTTAAAAATTAATAAAATTTGTTTAGGTACAAGGTGGCCTTTGGATGTTGGGTATGTGTTGATTGGACGTAAACTTATGTATACATATTTTGATAGGTCCTCTTATGTGCAATATCTATCTAAGCTCAGATGTTGCATGTAGCACTGCTTCAATTATTCTTCTAGCTTTAATTAGTTTTGATAGGTATTAAAAAAATTTGTTTTTAATTAAAATTTTAATTTTTAAGATACAAAGCAATAAGCAAACCAATCCAGTATTCCCGTCAAGCACAAAATATTTACAGAGTTGTTAAACTTTTTGTTTTTGTATGGATATACTCTTTCTGTGTTGCCAGCCCCATCGTTCTTGGTTTGTTATTGGAATGTCACGGATTATGAAACTTGATGCCCGAAACCTAACTGACCCGACCCGAAACCCGGACTTCTTTTTGATCCGAACTCCAATCCAAAGAAAATTTTAAAGACCCGCCTTTTTTCTCAATCCGTAACATCCCTTGTTTATTATGTATTAAAAACTTTTTTTAATAAACCAATTTTAAGGAATTAATGACCCCCCAGATAATGACGGAGGATTATTGTTTGAATGTCGATTTTATAATGCTTATTTTTCTTTATTGTCATCATTTGTTAGCTTTGTATTTCCCTGTTGCGTGGTTATCTTTGTGTATGTACGTATTATCCGCGCATTAAGAAGTCGAGAAAAATCAGCAAAATTACGAAAAGCTCAACAACATTTATCTTTAAAAAAGAAGCATGAATGTCAAGCAACAACTAATAATAATAAACCTAAAGCTGAATGTGATGATGAAGCTGGTGAAATTGTTGCTGGGCCTGGTAAGACAAAGGAAACATATTTTCAAATTAATTTTTTCCCCAGCTGTGAATATGATGATGATTGCGTTACCTTCTTTGAACCGGCAAATTAAACGTTATGAAAGGCATAAACAAGCATTGGAAGAAGCAGAAGTTATATTGGATGATGAAGAATTTTCTTCTATTGAATCGCTAAATGAAGATGTGCGTATCCTTACTAATGATTTTATCTCTGAGGTGCCAACATCTAAGTAAAACTTTTAATTCAATAAATATAGACTCGCTGAGCTGACTTTTGAATA